ATATATAAATCCATTACGATATGTTGGTGCACCAGAAGAATTTAAACAAATTCATATGCAGGTATGGAATTTAAATTAATTAATAGATTATAATAACAGAATCATTTTTTAGGAACATGTAACACATACAAATGTTCCACCACAAGCTGCAATGAGTCTTGTTGCTGATTTAAATCAAAATCGTAGTAAAGGTGCAGCATTATTTCAGAAACGTAAAGCTCGTTCGGAAAAATGGGTTATTGATGAGAATAATGTTAAAAAACAAGGCTATCAACCAACATCAAATTATATTGGGGTTAGTATGCATGCTAGTAATCATAGTTATTTTTATTGTCAAGTTGATTGTCTATATAGTCAACTGCTAAACCATGGGGTCAACGTGCACCATCATGGTCGGATAGTGAAGGACCAAGTTTTTCACCTGTACGACCAACATTTAATCCTTCATCGAATTCTATTCTTTCTGAACCAATTATTATGTCACCTACACCAACACAAACAATACCACGATATGGAGATTTTAATGCTAAACCAAAAGGATTTGGTACTTGGCATCCAGAGAGTATGAATTTTGCTTTTAATTGAAATAAAATAGTTTTTTTTCTTTTTTTTATCAATTAATAGATCTATCACCACGTGGAAGTATTGATGCTAGAAAACCGCTCAATCTTAATATTGAACCAAGTATTCGTGAAGGTAGATTGATTATTTTTAATGTTTAAATAAATTTTTTAAAATCTTGAAATTATTTAGGTATTGCTGAATCACATACACGAAGTGCATCTCAACCTTGGTCTCCACCAAATAATTCACAATCTTTATTTTCTCCAAATCAACATCAAACTACTACAAATAATGTCAATTATCCATCAGACAGTCTTCTTTCAAAATGGAAAAGTCAAGATTATTCATCATGGAATCAATCTAAAATTCAAGACCAACGGCAATCACAAATGCCAATGACCCATGATGGTATTGATAATATACGTCAACGACTTATGCAACCGAATCAATCATATTCATATAGTGGATTGAACCAACGAAGCAGCAATAATGTTAGTCCCAACCCATATCCTTCATCTCAACGATCACAACAGCAACAACAACATTTTACCGATCTTTAAAGGTTTCTTATACATCAATACATACAAGACAAACTCGGTGAAATACATTAATCGTTTATTCGCTCAATATACTTGCTATAGTCATGAGCACTTTTCATTTTTCCTAAGTATATGTTCGTAGTCTAGGCCAAAGAAACATTCATCATTTCCCTTGCTTTTTGTTTATTCATTTAATTGTTTTTTTTTTTTGTTGATTTTGAGTGTGTGGGTTTGTGTGTTTTTCTTTTATAATGGCACTCTGATTATATATATGCATTTCACCATCGGCAATTGGCTTCAATAAATCTTCTTATGCACAGATTAATATACAACAAAAAATTCATTAAAGCTATACTTCAATTTTCATATTAGCGTAACGCATACGAAATCTAAAACAATCAGAATCAGTAGTGTCTTGAGCAGAGATAGCGATTTCACGACGGGGAAGGGGGGCACAGAGGCATACTATCCTCTAATCTTTGAAAATTCTAGTTTGTCTCTAGCATAGCTAATCAATTTTCTTTCGTCTATTTCTTCAAAAACGTTTTCGTCCTACAATCTCAATTGTCGACCACCTCTAATCTTATTAACGTAAGAATATATCTGATCAGAATCAATACAACAAAATCGATCTTTACCAATAGCTGTATATAGGCCTTGATAAAGATAGATGCCATATTTATCATGATACTTGAAAGAAAATGTGAAGGTGAATAGCAAAGAATCAATAATGCTTATTATTTCTATTTCTATAATGCACTTGATTGTGTTCGATAAACAGCTGGCATTATGTGGATATTAGAGTGCTCAATATCATACTTGTCGAATAACACACATTTGCTTCTATCTATCATTATTTATACTATAAAATTTCATTATTTAGACTACAAACTACTTCATTAGAAAAAAAAGCTTGTTAGCGCAGCCCCTTTGGGGCTAAAATGTGGAACTCACATATGTTCGTCAGCTTCGTTATCTTAATACGAAATACAGAAGATGTAAAATCAAGAATTTTTTATTTTTCATTTTCTGACGGGCGCTCTATTTTTCGTTTTCATTGTTACTATTCACTCATTATTTTTTTTTCGTATTT